ATAGAGTGTCTTTAGGCAAGGGGTATTAGCTAACACTACTGTAATGATACACAGTTGTTTTATTTTTCTTCCGGTGGTGGGGGGAAATGCAATTGTACTTTCAGTCTTAGGTACAGATGTTATTGATAGTAGTGTTGTTGAACATGTGGTTGATTGAAGAAATAATAGATTTTGGTGTAATGGAATGTATATTTTTCAATGTTCTCAGCATTTTTTTATTTGATATACCTTTTAATTGACAATTTTTTTTATTACTCTGTGCCTTCAGGCACAGGCATGTACTAGTGATATGATATTGTAGTTAAAAGAGATAAAGTAGCATATGGTTTTTTTTGCCGCTTATGAGTCGGGCAGACTTTAGAAAGAAGGTATGATATTTTTTAAAAAGAGATAAAGTAGAATTTAAAAAGAGGATAGGATATTTTAAAAAAAGAAAGAGATAAGTAACATTTAAAAAGAGGATAAGTAGAATTTAAAAAGAGAATAAGATATTATAAAAACAAGTCAAGCAAGTTTTTCTAAAATTAAGAAGTTAAAAATTCAACAAAAAAAGAATTGAAGTTTGCGGGTCTCTCCTTGTTTGTAGATACATTCACATAGGGTTCGTTTAGTAGACCTATTATGAGGAGATTAAATATTAAATTATATTATTTTTTATGTAATCGGGTCTAATACTTTGTTTGGTAAACAAATTTGTTACTCTATTAAAAAATGCATATTTATCGTATATTTTTTATACGATAACCTGTATTATAGAGATATTTTAATATCTCCGAGAGATGTGGTATTATAATTCAATCAATGTAATAACACACTGATTGGACTAAATAACTATTATTCAATGCTTATGTTATATATTACTAAATACTAGATACAATTACGTATTATTCTAATACTTTATTTAATTTTATCTTTTATTCATCTGTATTGTATTTGACTATATTATATTATTCAATGCACCCATTTATAATAGAGCAACTAAACGAGCTTGTATAATGTAGAGATATGCAATTTTGTGTACATGACCTTTCCTTTTTTTTCTTTCTTTTATCAACTTTCACTGTCACTCCCTCTCTTTTTTTTTTTTTCTCCTCTCCGCTTCTTCCTTTTTTTTCTTTTACCGTCCTGTGGTGATAAGATTTGCAAATCTTTACAAATCAGAATAAGTCAATAACTGGTCACAAGGACCAATTGTACACAGTTCACCCTACTTTGCTTCTTTCTTTATTTTCTTTTTTTAGTCCTCCCTCCATCATGCTGCACCCCACTGCTTATTCTCATGGGTAAATTATATAAATAGTCACTCAGGTTTACCACTTATCGTACTTTAATCCTTAAAATTTCAATTTCATCTATTTTATCCGCAAAATTCAAACATTGAACCAATCTAATCCTTGACACTAACTGACATTACAAAAATTGACGGAAAATGTCATGTGAAGGTCACATGCAAAATTTCAAGGGTATTTCTAGCATTTTGCAAGCAAATCTAATGGCAAAAATGTCAAACAAAAAACCAACACCATTCTCCCATTTTCTCCTTAGATTCTTCAACCCAACTTGTAGAAACCTCACCCAAAATCGACTGCCCTTGCAACTTCCCACCTCGACCATCAGCAGCCACCATATCTGTGAGGCATTAGGAGTAAATGTCATTCGGCACACACTTGAGTCCATTGTCAGTCAGTAAACTCTTTGAGCTGGCCACTACCAGTCGATAAGCTACCTTGGTTGGGCATTGCCATTCGACAACTGGTTTGGTTGGCAACAGCCAGACGGCACTCGCTTGGGCAAGTCCTTACTCGTCCACACTTGGTACTCAAAGCTACTATAGGTCAGCTACCATAACTCCATCCAAGCTATTGTAATCCCTCATACATGCTCACTTCCTCTAGATGAGTCCTACTCAGTGAAAGATTAACCTAGGACATAGAGTCCTAATCTAATACCACTTTGAGTATCTAGGAGCTGGTGATGGGGCACCAAAGAGGTAGAGTCGAGGTAAAATGCTACTCCGAGCAATCAAGAGCTAGTTATAAGGACCGAGGACCAAGAGTCCTAGTCTACCTCAGCTATGAACTTCTGGGACGTGGTGACAAGATTGAGCCAATCAATCTAGGGTTCGAGTTCCTTTGGGATACATTTCCCTACCATTATAAATCAAGGCCCCAAGTACCAGTTAAGACATTCAATCTCATCCTATTCACTCAACACTTCTTTCTGACTTACGAAAGTCCCTTAGTTGTGATGAACTAGATTAGTTAAGTTTGTTAACAAATTAGATCCAACTAGTATTATTGATTTTGTAAAGTTCTATTTTCCCTTTTTTCTTTTTCTTTTTCTTGTTCCTTTTTTTTAATAAACAAACTGATTATTTATTGACAGGAAAATATGGCACTTAGAAGAAAGGGAAAAGCATAAACACCCATAACAAAAAACACAGCCTCCATGTATCTTATCTTTCAACCATAGGAGTTAGATTCAAGTATAAAAAACAACACAACACTTGTACTTCTTACAAGATAAAACAAAGCAATACATCACACATTGCTTGCTGAACAACCAAAGCCAGTCATCAACTTAACTCTGCCAGCCCAGGATTCTCGACCATCTATACTCAGGAAGACAGTTTATTATTATTATTATTAGTTGGTGATACCATGTCATCTTATATGTAAACTGGGCTATTGTCTCCCCGATCAGGCTTCCAACCAAGTTTGAATTCTTGTTCAAACACCTTTCGATTAAACATGACTCTGGGTTCCACAGGCTGTTCCAGCTAAGTAACACACAGTACTGACCTTTCCACCGAAGAGAAATACTCTTTTATTGAACTCTCCGTCATCAAACGACTTGGAGTTGCTAGTACACGCAACATGATCGCGATCTCTCCAAGGACCGGACCTCTGTCCAGACACACATACAATTCCGACGAGGGGAACCTAGTATTCGGTTTGAACGAGAATTGAGACTCCAACAAATCCAACAACTTGGCTCTGGCTGAACCAGTATGCAAATTATCAAACGACACAGAACCCAATTCCCCCAACACTGAAAGGAACGATCCAAGATTCACAAATCTCAACATGTTAACACAATTGAAATTTAATCTGGGATAGTATCCATAGTTTGTCGAACCATCATCGACAATGTTCATCAAAATCGAACCCTGATCAGAGTAATCCATGACCAAACAAGCAACACTTCTTTTATCTAGGAACCCCAATTCAAAACCCTTACCAGTTACAGTAACAGCTCCTCTCCCAAACCTGTCACAGCCTCAAAGATCGCCTTCTTTGACGCTCGATTGATACCACTGAGCTTCTTGGTCTAAAAGAACCAGTCAATTGTCTTCCCAGCCAGCTTCATTTCCTTCATTTTTGATCAAATTATATATTAATTTACAATTTAAGGTAGTGTTTATAATCAATCTACTATTTTTTATTTACATTAACTATTATTTACAAATTAAGAAGCAAGTGACACAATACATGCCATCAGATATAAAAAAAATTAATTAGTTTCATGGAATAAATAATTGCATAACATGTAGTTTTACCTGTTTTATGGAGAAAGTAATACCAAAAACAACACAGGAAAAACAAAAAAAAAAAAATAATATTATAAGAAAGAGAGAGCTATACAAAAGATGAGAGTTTTATAGTGGTAAAAAGAATGAATATCAAATTAAGACCATCGGATTAAAACGAACTGAGACGCCAATAGTTCAAGACAGACAATATAGCTACTTTATTATATAGATATTGATATACATAAATTAATCTCTCTCCATATCTCATATTTTCTAATCAAGCATACAAATATCGTGGGGAAGCGCCTGAAGTTAACAGAGAGAAGGGGTAAGATTTGGTGTTTTATTAATGATTATTATAAGTTCTATCGTTAATATGTTATAGTTTTTTATTTAATTATTTATAACCTTTTTTAACTATATTTAAGTATTTTAAATTTTTTTAACTTTTATATCTTTTGTACTAATAAAAACCCGTGCAATGCACGACCAAGTGTTCGTCAACTTTTTTTGTTTTTTTTGATCAGAGGTGTTCGTCAACTCAATATTAATGAAAGTGAAAACTTACCAACTATCAGCAAAGTGAAAAATATGCTGCATATTCATTCATTTAACATAAAAATTCAACTATAAATGACAAAATAAAAAGTCTCTAAAGATAAATATGTTTAAAACAAATTAACCCAAATATATGACATTCATAAAAATATAGGTACTACGGCACGTCACTAAAATTATCTCTATTACCCTTTTTCTCAAAATAAGCACCTACATATTAAAAAAAATATTGTTGAATAATAACATGTAAAATTTTTGCTTTCTTCCCACACCAAAATCAAAAGAATATTTAAAAAAGAGATATGTACCTAGAAAGTATTATTCAAATGATTGGATATTTATTCTACATCAGCTGAGCCTCGACTTTATCTAATGCCTCGGAGTAGATTATGTCTTGATAATGCCCTCATGTATTTATTAAAAGTTTTAGACATGTTACATATTTAATTAGTTTTTGTATTTCTTTTTTTTTTTTTTGGTGAAAATTAATATTTGCTAATCTATTTGGTAGTATATTAATAACATCAGTATAAACATAATAAATTATATCAAATAATATTATTTAATTTGTTTTTGTATTTTTTTTATGAATATGTCCTTTAAACGGCAAATCTGAAATGTTTCACAATATTTTTAATTTAATTAGTTTTCGTCTTTCTTTTTTGAGGTGAAAATTAATGTTTAATAATTTGTTTGGTAGTATATTAATAACATTATTACAAATATACTAGATTATATCAAATAACGTTATTTAATTGGTTTTTGTATTTTTTTTTGGAAGTGGAAATTAATGTTTGATAATTTGTTTAGCATAATATTAAATACATTATTATAAATATACTAAATTATATCAAATAATTCTATTTAATTAATTTTATATATTTTTTTATGAATATATCCTTTGAACAGCAAGTCGGAAATGTTTCACTATATTTTTAATTTAATTAGTTTTTGACAAAATTATATCAAATAATGTTATTTAATTAGTTTTTGTATTTCTTTATGAATATATCCTTTGAACAACGGGTCTGAAATGTTTTCACTATGTTTTAAATTTGATTAATTTTGTATTTCTTTTTTTTAAAGTGGAAATAAATGTTGGTAATCTATTTGGAATATATAAGTAACATCATTATAAATATATGGATTATATCAAATAATGTTGAAAATAGATCAATCGTAATTCACAATATGTACAATCTACATCAATGAGCATGATAATAAAACAAGAACAAATAAATATGATAGTGGTTCTTATGCAAATCTTCTATGACAAAATAAAAGAATTCAAATTATAATGGTAGAAGCCAAAAATTAGTAGTTCGGAAGAGAAACAACTTGATCAAAATAACCAAGAACTATAATAGAATTCAGCATAGACAGAAGAAAAAACACGCCAAGCACACGCACTTACACAAAACAACTTACATCAATGGTCGCGTGTTGTCACAGCTCGTGTTCTTGCGATGCTCCGTAGTTTTGCCTGAAAAATGAGAGAGAAGGAAGAAAAAATAGGAAAGGCTTGAGAGGGGAGGGAATTGGATGCAATTTAAAAAAAAGATATAACAGTGGAAGAAATCTGAAGTTTAGTTGGTATTAGAGGGACTCCGTAGTTTGGCATTTAGAGTGACTCAGTTGTTTAAAAAGAGATAAAGTAGCATATGGTTCTTTTTGCAGCGTAAGAGTTAGGCAGACTTTAAAAAGAAGATATGATATTTTTTAAAAAGACATAAAGTAGAATTTAAAAAGGTAATATCTTATTTGCTTGAGGTCTTTTTTTGCAGTGTGAGAGTCGTGGGAAAATAAGAGTGACAGTTTTAAAAGAAGATAGGATATTTAAAAAAAAAAAAGAAAGAAAGAGATAAAGTAACATTTAAAAAGAGGATAAGTAGAATTTAAAAAGAGAATAAGATATTATAAAAAGACTAATGTTCTATGGACTTAAAAATAGACTTGATAATCACAATTATTAAATAGGCAGTGGGTCACAATAAATACTGGGACACACAGTAAAATCAATGATTATAATTATCAAGTCTAAGTACATATAATATTGCTCTTATAAAAATAAGTCAAGTAAGTTTTTCTAAAATTAAGAAGTTAAAAATTCAACAAAAAAAGAATTGAAGTTTGGGGGTCTCTCATTGTTTGTAGAAACATTCACATTGGGCTCGTTTGGTAGACGTATTATGCAGCAATTAAATATTGAATTGTATTATTTTAATGTAATCGGGCTTAATACTTTATTTAGTAAGCAAATTTGATACTCTATTCAAAAACGTATATTTTTTATATTAATACCATGAAATAATATCATAACCAAACAACTGATTGAATTAAATAACTATTATCAAACGCTTATGTTGTGTATTACCAAATACTAGATACAATTAAATGTTATTATAATATTATATTTAATCTTCTTTTTTATTCATCTGTATTTTATTAGACTATATTATATTATTTAATTCATCCATTTATAATACGGCAACTAAACGAGCTTATATAATATAGAGATATGCAATTTTGTGTACATGACCTTTAGTTTAAAAAAATAGTTTTTTTTTTAATTATAAATAAATAAAAACAAATTGAAATTGACACAATTAAGAGACTTGATATATCTGCCCCACCACCATCTCATTTCCTTTTTTTTTTTTTTTTTTACCTTCTTTAGTGATAATATTTGCAAATCTTTACAAATCAGAGGAAGTCAATAACTGGTCACAAGGACCAATTGTACACTGTTCACTCAACTTTGCTTATTTTTTTATTTTCTTTTTTTATTTCTCGCTCCATCATGCTGCACCCCACTGCTTATTCTTATGGGTAAATTATATAAATAGTCCCTCAAATTTGCCACTTGTCACACTTTGATCCTTAAAATTTTAATTTCAAATTTTATCCTTAAAGTTCAAACATTGAACCAATCTGGTACTTGACACTAACCAACGTTACAAAAATTGACGGAAAATGCCATGTCGTGCATACTTTCAAGGGTATTTCTGGCATTTTGCAAGCAAATCTGATGGCAAAAATGTCAAACAAAAATCCAACACCATTCTCCCATTTTCTCCTCAAATCCTTCAACCCAACTTGTAGAACCTCACCCAAAATCGGCTGCCCTTGCAACTCCCCAACCCGACCATCGACAGCCACCATATCTGTTAGGCATTAGGAAGTAAATGCCATTCGGCACACACTTGAGGAGTCCATTGTCAGTCGGTAAACTGTCTTAGCTGGCCACTACCAGTCGATAAGCTGCCTTGGCTGGACAGTGCCTGTCGACAACTGGTTTGGTTGGTAGCTGTCAGACGGCACTCGCTTTGGGCAAGTCCTCACTCGTCCACACTTGGTACTCAAAACTACTATTGGTCAGCTACCATAACTCCATCCAAGTTATTGTCATCCCTCATACATGCTCACTTCCTCTAGACGAGTCCTACTCGGTGAAAGATTAACCTATGACCTAGAGTCCTAATCTAATATCACTTTGAATATCTAAGAACTGGTGATGGGGCACCAAAGAGGTAGAGTCTAGGTAAAATGCTACTTCGAGCAATCAGGAGCTAGTTATAAGGACTAAGGACCAAGAGTTCTAGTTTAACTCAACTCTAAACTTCTGGGACTTGATGACGAGGTTGAGCTAATCAATCTAGAGTTCGGGTTCCTTTGGGACACATCTCCCTACCATTATAAACTATGAAGCACGGATACGGATACGATACGATACGGGTACGGGAATACGACCAAAAAAAAAAAAAGGATACGAATACGGCTAGAATACGTCTATAAAATATATATTTTTTAAAATTTTATTATTATATTTAATGTAATAATTATGATTTATAAAGTAAATCACACTTTCTATCAAATATATATGATAATAACTAACCATCAGAGTCAGTCGATCGTCAGTGTGAGTGAGTGAGAGAGAGAGAGAGAATCTTCGTCGAGTATCGACTAAAGGGAGTGGGGGGCTTGACGGGCAGTGGAAGAAAAGTGTACAGGTTTTAGTCTTTTAGACTTTTAGTTTAATATTTTTTTTTTTTTGAAATAAGGGGCCTAAATATATTGCTCTTGTACCCCTATACTTTTTTAAAATTCGAGTAATACCCCGCCGTATCCTTATGCGTATCCCACGCGTATCCAAAACGTATCCAAAAACTAATTTTTTTTGTTAATTTTAGGATACTTCTCAGACGTATCCGACGCGTATCTGTATCCAAAAGTATCCGATACGGATATTTTGACCCTTGTGAAAGTATCCGTGTTTCATAGATTATAAATCAAGGCCCCAAGTACCAGTTAAGACATTCAATCTCATCATATTTACTCAATACTTCTCTTTGACTTGTGATCTGACTTAAGTACCAAAGTCTCTTTGATTGTCTCTGGCCATCGGTTCACCTAAGTGTTCTCTTGTCTTACAGATTCCACGAAACTTTTTCACCACCCCATCCTTCCATACGACGTGGTTAGTCTTTGTGTGAAATTATTCTCGCACAACATCCATTACCCCACCACCACCCCATTCTCCTTCACCTCAGCCACAAGCCAACCAAATTAGCAACTAGCATTTGTTACCCAACCATTACCCCTTCCTTTTCCATTGTTGTCTATAAGCCACCACCACCTATACTACCACACGCCTGCAACACACCACTGTCGCCTCCCACAAGACACTATAAAAATCGAACATCAAGTACCCATAAACATTTCACAGAGAAAAGCGTAGAATTTTAGATATAGAGAAAGAAATAGAGGGTTAGAGAGAATTTCACAATCAAAGTCAAAACACCCAAACCAATTCATACCTAATTATTCTTCAATTCAGCTTTGGGTACATGAATCTGATTAATGAGACATTCTAGGTCAATGCAATGAATTGGAGCTTGATGGCAATGGAGACCTAGAAAAATGAGGAGGTGCATTCAGCTCAAACCCCCCACCCTCAGCATCAAGGCAAGCCCAACACCTTTATTGCCATGTGAGTGAGTGAGAGAGAGAGAGAGGGAGACAGAGATGTGTTGTTTGTGTGAGGTCGAGGTCTAATTGAAGACTAGGCAGCATAGAGATAGAGAGACAAAAATAGGGGGCTTGTGTTGTTTTGTGTTGGGCTTCTGTGTCTCCGTTTGTGAGTTTGTGTTGTATTCGTGTACTGTGTGGCTGCAAGGACTCGAGAGACAAAGAGAGGTTTAGAAGGAGAGAAGGGCTAAGAGATGAATTTGGAGAGAGAGATATGGAAAGAGAGACGCATGTATCCCCAAATTTACGTTTGGATTGAAAATTCAATCATGGGTTCTCAACCCCCGGTTTGTAGCTAACCCGAATATTAAACTCATAATCATAGGTTCCGTCAAACTTAGAAGGGGTGTGTTTGAGGAAATGAGTTAAAGGATTAAGGATGCAAAAAATAATTGTATCCCTTAACATTGGGTATGAATTTGACTGATCAATAACAAAATAGTCATTTAAATGATAAATAGTTATTAATAATTATGATATATTTGTAGGTCTTACATATGTATGTATTGCATACCAAACATGAGTATGGATCGGATTCAATGTTGAATATTATCTTTGTAAAAAGAGATTTGGGTTTGAAAAGGTTTGGGGAACCCAATTCAAACCCTCCCAAAAATCCATCCAAACAAGCCTGGAGAGATAAAGAATTGTGGGTTTGAGGTATACAACTGAGCATGGGGAGAAAGAGAGAGAAGTGCAAAGAATATGTGAGAGGGGACAAAAAAAGAAAAGGAAGAAGAAGATGCATGTTTGGATGTGAGTTTAATATAGCCCGATAGCAAATAATAATGTTTGGATGCATTACTTATTATAAAGTGCCAAAAATGACCCTTAAAATCTACACGTGACCGGCACATGGTATTTTTTGTTAATTTTTATAATGTTAGTTGGTGCTAAGAACTAGATTGACTCAATGTTTATACTTTGGGGATGAAATTGATGAAATTAAAACTTTAAGGACCAAAGTGTGACGAGTGACAAACCTGAGGGACTATTTGTGTAATTTATCCTATTTTTATTTACTTTCTCTTTCTTCGTTCTACATCTTTTTTTTTTCTTTCAACACTAGCTGTACTGGATAATCATCACATATAAGAATTATAGGCATTAGAAGAACCACGGCATAAGCTCATTCTCTATATAATTTACATCATAAAGTCAAAAGCTATGTAAATCACTAGCTGGTTAAAACTTTATTAGAAGCAAGAAGGAAGAAAAAAAAAAGAAATCATAATACTTATCAAACCTATACATGCCTAGCTGTAGCACAAGTTGGAAATAGAAGATTAGGATGGACAAGGTATTTACATATGACAGAAAACATATAACTTTTTTTTTTTATCTAATTGATGTATACTTACGTTGCAGTGAATAATTTCAAATTATCTTTGTTTAGTAGCATAGAGTTCTCCTCATTTAATAACACATACAATGTGAACTTGTAGAGGGACAATTGCATGTAATTTCAAATTATTCTTTTTCCTCTTCCCTTCCCACTCTAATGTGATCTAAGGAGTGAAACATATAAACCCTTCCCACTCTATATTTCAATTACTATTGTTCACATGAAAGTTAATTTTGTAAGAGCAATACCACTTAAACCTAATTTATTAAGCAAATTGTTGACCAAATCATTAATTTATTAAGCAAATTGCGACTTACAGTCAATCCAATGATTGTAAAAAACTAAATCAATTAATTTTAACAGCAAATTAGATTCAACTACCTTTTTTTCTTTTTCTTTTTCTTTGTCATTTTTTTTTATTAATAAACAAACTGGTTATTTATTGATAGGAAAATATGGCACTTAGAAGAAAGGGAAAAGCAGAAACACCCATAACAAAAAACACAGCCTCCTTACATCTTATCTTTCAACCATCTGAATTAGATTCAAGCATAAAAAACAACACAACACTTACTACTTTTTACAAGATAAAACAAAGCAGTACATCACACATTGCTAGCCCAGGATTTTCCACCATCTACTCTCAGAAAGACAGTTTATTATTATTATTATTATTATTTAATGATACTGCGTCACCGCTTTAATATGTAAGGACTATGGTCTCCCTGATCAGGCTTCCAACCAAGTTTGAATTCTTGTTCAAACACCTTTCGATTAAACACGATTCTGGGTTCCACAGGCTGTTCTAGCTGAGTAACACACAGTACTGACCTTTTCACCGAAGAGAAATACTCTTTTATTGAATTCTCCGTCATCAAACGACTCGGAGTTGCTAGTACTCGCAACATGATCGCGATCTCTCCAAGGACCGGACCTCTGTCCAGACACACATACAATTCCGACGAGGGGAACCTAGTATTCGGTTTGAACGAGAATTGAGACTCCAACAAATCCAACAACTTGGCTCTGGCTGAACCAGAATGCAAATCATCAAACGACACAGAACCCAATTCCCCCAACACTGAAAGGAACGATTCAAGTTTCGCAAATCTCAACATGTTAACACAATTGAAATTTAATCTCGGATAGTATCCATAGTTTGTCGAACCATCATCGACTATGTTCATCAAAATCGAACCCTGATCAGAGTAATCCATGACCAAACAAGCAAGACTTTTTTTATCTAGGAACCCTAATTCAAAATCCTTACCAGTAACAGTACAGCTCCTCTCCCAAACCTGTCACAGCCTCAAAGATCGCCTTCTTTGACGCTCGATTGATACCACTGAGCTTCTTGGTCTAAAAGAACCAGTCAATCGTCTTCCTAACCAGCTTCATTTCCTCCTTACCGGCTGATCGTCGACGAAATCGATGATTCGCTTGCCTCGGCGATCTAAGGTTCTGAGAAGCTCGCCGGTGGGTTCACAGACTTTTAGGGCTACTAATTGGACATTGAAGAAGCCATGGACATCGAAGAGTCCAAAAATCTACAGAAAAAAGTGGAAAATGGGTTGTCTACAACGGGAGCGAAAGGGGGGCTAAAAAGGAGAGAGGAGTGAAGGGTGAAGATGATGATTCTGACGATGAGGATCGAAGCAAAGAGAAGATAAAGAGTAAAGAAATCGGCAGACGAAGACTTGGAAAAAGGAAGTGTATTTTCACTTAGCCCTCCTATGGTTGTTTGATTAAGGTGCCCTGTTACATTTGCCATCCAATTTAACTCTCCGTATGAGTCACGTGTCTGTAAGAGAGTGTATCCTCCAATATTTGAATAAAGTCATAACCCGTAAATGAAGACACAATAAAATATAAAATTCAAGCGTCTAAAAAATCGATCTCACTATATTAAATTTTTTTAAAATATATTAACTATAATTAATTAAATATTAAATGATTGAATATGTGACAAAAATGAGTAGTGTAATATTTTTATGGAGGAAATATATAAATAATTAAATATGTGATAGAAATGAGTGATGTAATTTGATGTTTGAGACTGACAAAGAAATGATAGGTGAGGTAAGTGATTGGTGATAGTTTTGACGAGAAAAATATGACTGGAATAAAACTTAAATACACTCATGTTTTATTATATAGATTTAAATTGTTATCATATACTTATATTCTTAAATTTTCAAATTATCCCTAATATCTGTTTTAATTTTTTATTTATTATGCATAAATATCAGTATTTATGAAATTTTTTAATTGACTATATTATTTTTAAAACATATATGCATCACTATAATTTTTAATAAAAAGTTCAATTTTTTTATTTTAAATATCAATTTAATATTACTCATTTTAAATATAAAAATAACATTATTCTTGCATATGTGTATTTCTTTTATCCAAAATTTTAACCACTTAATTTTTAAGATAAAAAATAATATTTTACGTAGTTTTTTTAGAATAATTTATATTAAATCAACATAATTCTTCAATTAGAGTAAACTTTTCATATTTTATTAAGAGTTTATATATAAAAAAATTATATTATATTTTTAAGTAAAACTTGAATTTTATAATTTTAATATTCTTTTAAAATATATATTATAGAGTAATATATTATTTTTTAAGGTGAATAGTCATTTTAGTCTCTAAAATATGCATGTTTTGTTAGTTTGATCTTCATTGCATCAATTTTGTCAATTTGGTTCTTAAAGTACTTACTAATGTTTAAATGATTCATATATAGACAATTTGTTAAGTTTTTTTATAGAAGTGATCACATGATACTATTTTTATAGAAGTTATGTTTATCAAAAAACTTAATTGATCATCTGATTAGGGATTATTTAAACAAGAATTAAATATTTTAAGGATTAAATTAACAAAATTTATATATTGAGAATTAAACTGATAAAAAGCACAAACTTTAGAGAACCAAAGTGTTATTAATCCTATATTTCATCTCTATTAACCTAAATAATTATATTAAGCATTAATTAAAATTTTAAAAATTATTTTTATTTTATTCAATGAATTATAAGTTGAAATATAATCAAATGAATTTCAAATAAATTATTTTTATCTTTTTNATAATTATATTAAGCATTAATTAAAATTTTAAAAATTATTTTTATTTTATTCAATGAATTATAAGTTGAAATATAATCAAATGAATTTCAAATAAATTGTTTTTATCTTTTTTTTTTCATACTTAAAACAATAAATCATTGGAAATAAACAATATTTTTGAATTCCATAATATAATACGAGCAATAAAAATATAATTTTGATAAACTTGAAATAGTATTTAATATAAGTACACATATACCTAATACTTTTTTTTAATAATTTGTATATGAAAATTATTCCCATGCAGCACACGTGGTGCATTACTAGCTCTGTAAAATATGTGCTAACTTTACAGCGTCACACACACACACATAGACACAGAGATGTGGTAAGTTTGTAAATTTGTTGGATCTTGACATGAAAGGTAAATTTGGTATTTTATAAAGAATTTGGTATGATATCATCTCTTTTCCGTTTGTCAATAACGTTTATTAACGGTGGGGAATTTGAATGAGACGAACGTATTAACTAAGAGGGAGTATAATGAAATTTTAGATAATACAGGGAATATTATTGAAGATGGCATATTCTACCGGGGATGATGATCCTATTTTAAAAGGTTGGAGAGACTTTGAAAAAGGAAGTCTACGGAGAGAAAGTGACAAATGACGTGAAACATTTCTACTTTCCCAATTGAAAAGATCGGAAAGACTTGGAAAATGGAAGTCTATGGAGAGAGAGTTTCACAATTTATACTGTAAAAGATTAAAATTTTAATATTATATCCATAATTAAATAAAAATATAATAATGTATTTTATTTTTAAAAAATTAAGTACAAAACTTTTATTTAAAACACTTGTACCAGTAATTAAGTATAAAACTCTGATAAAAATATTTGTACAAAATACAACAAATATTTGATTTGAAATCATAAAATGTGAGAATTTTTATTTTTTTATAATATAAACTGAGGATTATTTAGGACACAAAATGTCATTCAGACGAAAAACAAAATATCAGAGAGAGAGAGAGAGAGAGAGAGAGAGAGAGGGGGGGGGGGGCATCTGCTAGCCCAACCCGTTTCTAAATTCATTCCAACATGACATATGACCCAAGTACAACACCTGTTCAGTCCAACCCAAGCAACGCTAAGTCGAAAAATAAAAGATGAGAAACAATTTATTAAAACATGTTGTTTAATTTCTAAATTAATTGAACATAAAATAACTAACACAAAACCTAAATGAGAGAGAATTTTGGAGAATGATATCAGTCTCTCTCTTCTTTTTTTCTTTTTTTTTCTCATTTTGTTCCACACTTTGATTGGTCTCGCCCAAATTAGGCCCAATTCAAAAATATAAATCAAGCCCAACTCAAATATACAGGTCAAGACACCAAGGATCAACTCTCACTATGTTGAGAGACTCAATTCATAACTGACACACGAAAAGATATCTATGGAATTGTCATGTCTATTACGAGAATAACGTCATATCTACAGAACTGTCCACCTGTTACGAGCATAGTGCCTCAATAGGTTAAGAGACGCCTATAATTGTAAGTCACACATACACAAGGGAAGCATCACACAAATCTCAATACTCACACCTGAGCATTCTATATTCCTTGAATAATAAAATACTCAAGCCATCGTAACCTTTCATAGTGTAGTAGGTCATCCTAACCCGACCACTTTATTTGTATTTGCCTGTGTTAAGTCTCCTGCTCAATGACTACTTTAAATACTTGATAGATAGTGTATAAATTCATTTTGTGCATTATCACACTTCATTCAACCTAAGGAGTGTCTTTTATAAAGCAAACAACCGGGTGGAAAGCCAATAATTTAGCTTTCCAATCACCCTATTAAATACAAATATTTATTTATTACTATTCATGCATAATAATACATCATATTCATTACTCAATTCGTTCCTAAATATCTATCGTTTTATACAATTTTTTTTGTTCCATAATATTTATCATTTAATGAAACCAAAAGTATAATTAATATTTTTTCTTCCAAATTTATCCATAACTTTTTAATGCATTAGATTAGTTGGAGGCTAAGTGTCTTTTATATTCCTTTCCTTTCCAATACGTATTGAATAAGAGTATTTTAGTCTTGTGTAATTATTTTTTACTCATATTACAGCTTTTTAATAACTTCCTTAATTTCTGTGCAAAAACCTTAAACGACAAATATTTAGGGATGAAGGGAGTATTATTCAGTATTATGCATAATTATTTGTGCACAATAGTCACCCACCTATATTTACAACTTCACCTTATATTGAAATAACATTGGGGCTTGAAATTTAATTTTAATAAAATCATTGGTATCATAAGTTTTGTCTGGTTTAAAACCTTACTTAATAAAACTCAGTAAAAAAAAATTAACAAATGGAAAAAGGGTACATGTCTTGCCCTCTCGAATACATCCAGTCAAAATAATAATCGTCACACCCCATTTCGAAAGACTCTCCTTAATGTTTTAGAGATGGAAACATGACTCAACACACGACAATACGTCCCGTTAGCTTATATCATAATTTCATTATGATATGTTTAGATTGATACTAATTATGATGGAAAATGAAATATATTCATGTGCCACTCGTATTCAATTTTTATAACACAAACATGTCAAATTTACATTAGAAAATGATGTCATTGTAAAAATATCATCAAAGAGAGTTAGGGGTGGTCATCGGGATGCCTGGTACCATGCACGCAATCAAGCATAATGCCATGGGTGGGCTTTGTCAGTTGGCCCATAATATCAATATGGGCCAAATTTATTGGTCTTCATTTCTTGAACTAGTTTTCGTCAACAAATTGGAGCCCACCCTAAATAAAAAATAAAATATTAAAAATTATATCTAATTAACCGAAATGTCGTGAGTTTGAATTACAAAAATAAAATTTTAATATTAAGTACAATACAATTTAAGTCTCAAAAGATAAATAAAATGACTTTTACTTTTCGCGGTTGAGATCTTTTTAAATTTTACTTTAAAGTTAATTCGATAATTAATATTAATACTAAAAATTAAATAGAGAAAATAAGTCTCTAAGGGTGTATGTATTTGGGTGACTTTTTAAAAGTATTTTTAGGAGTTATAACTTTTTATAAATACTTTAAAAAAAATTAAAATAGTGTTTGAAAACGCACCACCACCACTCCTAGCAAGCTACCACCACTACCTTACCACCTCCACCACCACCCCCATTGCCCTACCCCCACCCCCACCACCATCCCCATTACCACCACCATCGCCGTAGTCGCCACTACCACCATTGCTGCCAGCCCCACCACCATCACTGTCGTTGCCAATATCAACACTACCACCACCCTATCGCCTCCATCACCACCACTACCTGCGTTGCTACTACCTTACCACCACCGTTGTCACCACCCTACCACCACCCCCCATCGTCCCACCATCATAACCATTACCACCACCATTACCCTACTTCTATTGCCCCACGGTTACCCCCACCATTATCACCATCGTCTGCTACAATTATTATCCGCTACCACTTCCCACCACAATCGTTATCGTATTCTAATGATTATTACCACTATTAGCATCATCCAACTACCACCGTCGCCCACCGTCAGCACCCACCACCATCATTGTTGTCTATCACCACTCACCGTCGCCCACCATCGCCGCCAACTATT